CAGTACAATATTTTTTAAGGATGAAAAAGGACTCTGAAATCTGGCATTTTATTTCATTCTTATTTTTTATTCTGACCATTGCATGCATATACATATTTTTATCCTCACGTGAGGATAGATTTGTTCTTTATTGACGAGAGAGAGAGAGAGAGAGAGAGAGAGAGAGAGAGAGAGAGAGAGAGAGAGAAAGAGAAAGAAACATCAATGGTGAGAGAGGATGATTGATCAGCTGCCTCCTGCACACCCACTACTGGAGATGGAGCCGGAAACCCAGGAATGTGTCCTGATGGAGGGGTGGGGGGAGGGAGGGACCATGACCTTCTGGTTGGAACCATGACCTTCTGATTAATAGGTTGACACTCAACCACTGAGCCAGGGAAGCCCTCCTGCCTGTCTTTTCCTCCCCTCGCCTCCCCTCCCCTCATTTCCCTCCCTTCCTCCCTTCCTTCCTTCCTTCCTTCTTTCCTTTCTTCCTTCCTTCCTTCCTTCCTTCCTTCCTTCCTTCCTTCCTTCCTTCCTTCCTTCCTTCCTTTCTTTTTTCATTTATATTTACAGAGAGGAAGGTAGAGGGATAGAGTTAGAAACATCAATGAGAGAGAAACATTGATCAGCTGCCTCCTGCACACCCACTACTGGAGATGGAGCCGGAAACCCAGGAATGTGTCCTGATGGAGGGGTGGGGGGGGGGAGGGACCATGACCTTCTGGTTGGAACCATGACCTTCTGATTAATAGGTTGACACTCAACCACTGAGCCACGCTGGCCTGGCCCTTCCTGCTTCTTGGCCTCAGTCTCCACATCAGCAGAATGGGACAATACATACAACCCTTGCTGCTCGCCCAGCTCACGGAATCACAAGGATCAAATGGGAGGGCACTATCCAGGTGTGATGATTATTTCCAGGGCGAGGGGGTGCGGAGATCGTGGCCCTCCACCTCTGACCAGGTGTGCAGCCCTCCAGGCCCCCAGGGCGAAAGGCCCAGGCAGGGGAGCAGACTCCTGGTATCATTAGCCTGTGGCCCCCTTGGCTCCGTGGGCAGTTAATCTTCCTCTCCAGCAGCAATTTTCAACCTTTTTCATCCCGTGGCACACAGAAGCTAAGTACCAAAATTCTGCGGCACACCGGAACTTTTTCTGACAGAAAATAGGTATAGTTTTGACTCATTCACACCAGACGGCTATTGTTGGGTTGGCTGTGGTAATGTTTTAATTGGACAATCTAAGGGAAAAGAGGTCAGTGCTCCCAAGTACATAGTTGAATGTTGCATCTTAAGACTGCGGCGTGCCCTGGCCTCTGGGCTGGAAACCGCTGCTCTGCTGCACCCCCTCCCTAGCTGCTGTCAGGCCAGTGCCCTAATCTCTGTCCCCACAATTCACCCTGCGGGTCTAACCATACCCAAGTCTTCTGAAGTTCACCTCAAGACGGACACAGGAAGTCCTGCCAGTCCTGCCTCCCTGGATCTCACTCACGCACTCCATCCCCACCCACATCTTATCCTGTCAACAAGCTTACAAAGGAGGAAGGGAAGTGGCCGAGAGTAGGGGACAGTCTCCAGGGCAAGGGCTGAAAACCCCCACACCAGGAAATCCCCGCTGGAAACCTCCCTGAGCACTAACCATGCCCGTTGCTACTGTAGAATAACCCTGTTTTCCCGGGTTCTTTCCACAGCGGGGACAGCCTGGAATGGGCCAAGGACCCAAGGACATGCCGTCCGCACAGACGCTGGGGCAGAGGGAGCACCAAGCTCACTGGGAGTTAGGCTGCATCCCTCTGCTCTCCTGTTCTCTGTGAGATGTAACAAATCAGGGCCGGTGAACACTAAGCACCCACATTTACTCCCCCTCCCCTCCAGTTCTTTCCCACAACACCCTACCTCCCACTGACTGTCCTCACTGACTCCCTCCACCCGTCCCCCCTCCAAAGCTCACATTCCACCTGACTTTGCCTCAAATTCTTGCTCTGGAAGGAGCTCTCTGAGCTGTAATCTGCCCTGCGAGAGAGGTCCGGGGCCCTCCCCCAGGCCCCCAGGGCCCCTAGGAGATGTGAACCACGCAAGGAAAGGCTTAGAATGGGGATTGGAGACTTCTCAATCGGCCTTTCTTCCTGGAATCATCCTTTGCCCCCACTTCAAGGAAACCTGAGCTGCCTGGGGTGGGTTTGGAGGGGAGGAGTGTGGCATGAGGATCACAGGTGGCCTGCGTGCTCGACCAGGTCCCGAGGAGAAACAGCCCGGATATGTAACCCCAAAACCAGCGCTCCAGAATTTAAGGTCTGGGGTGAGGTACTCTGCAGCTAGACCTCTGGAGGCCATGAGTGTGTGTGTGTGTGTACGTGTGTGTGTGTGTGTGTGTGTGTGTGTGTGTGTGTGTGTTGGCACAAGAGGAGAAACCAACACAAGGTGTCTTAGAGCTTAGGGAACTCCAATTTTATTTTCCAGGAGGAGTCAGGGGACACAGGGTCTAGGAGCCCCGATGCAATGGCAGATCAGGGTCTTCCCCTTCCCCAACAATGGGCTTCCCTTCCCATCCCTCAGCCCAGGATGCCCCCAGGAAGTGGTCTCTAAGCCCTGGCGCTCACAGACCCCAGCACATACAGACAAGTAGGGGAGCCCCACTCACTCCAGCTTCAGGGGGACGGCCAGGTGTTCTTTCAGGTAATCTGACCCCCCAGCTGGCCTGCTGGGACCGACCTCTCAGCCTGGGGGGCGGGGAAGGAGCCCCAGAGTGATCCCCCCAGAACTCTCACTCCCCTTTGCCCAGGGATCTAGGTGAGCCTCCCTTTGATGGGGTCCCCTTTCCTGCGTCCCGAGTGGGCTGCATTCTCAGTGGGGAAGGACAGGTGTGGAATTATTCCCTCTATCCCAGGTGCTCTGGTTTAGACCTGGTTTCTGTACCTTCTCTCCAGCATCTTGCTCCTCCAGCCTACTGCCTTTTAGTTTTCGTGCATACCCTGACCCCTTTCCACATCTTCCTGGATCTTGCTTTCTTCCCCTAGGAAGTGCTCGCCAGCAAGGAGGCTTATATTTTGGAAGAAGATCTGGTGAAAAACTCCCTCAGGAATCAGCTCTCCCCAAACCCCCACTTGCCATGGAAATAGGGGCCCAACCCCCCTCCCCTCCCTGCAACTCAACTCACAGTCCGTGGAGAGGAGAGCAGCGGGCAGCAAAGACCCCTGGAGGGGAGCATCCATGCCCCTGACTCGGCCCCACACCCGTCCCCTTGGAGGGTGAGAGCCACCGAGGGCACGCTGTTTCTCCTAAATGTAGCGGCAGCTCTGACTAGGACTTGCTATCTGTGTCATACCCACTTCCCAGGCTCCCCTGCTCCTCTCCTGTTTCCACAGCAACCAGTCTGGCGACAGCTCTAGAGCATCCCCCTTCCCTCCCCAGCCCTGGGTACCACTAGAGGCTGAGCCACATGCCGTGGTTATTTTTAGCCAAAGTCCCTCCTCTTGGACAGCTCAGAGCTCTGCCTTCTCACCCCCTCAGGAAAGAAAAAGACAGAAAAGGGAAAAAGCTGGCGCGCTTGCTCTTTCCTGGGAAGATCCTTGCTCTGGGAAAACGCAAGCCCTGACGCCTTTGGGAATAAGGTGTTTGATTTCCTGGGGACTCAAAGGGCCGCGTGGGAGCCGGCAGCTCTTCACGTCCAAGGGGCCTCCTGCTGCTCTCAGGTCAGGCCGAGCATCACAGTCTATTTCTGGAGAAGCCCCCGTGATCCAGAAAGAGAGAGCGAG